TATGATCTTTCAACATTTGAACTGTGGAACAGCGTTGTTACTGGGTGACTCCCTCCCCTTGTCCAGAGGCGAACCGGAGATTAAAGAGGTGAGCTTTTTAAGCATAAACTGCTTGGAACGTTGACGGAGAGAAATAAGTCACTCTTTGCCAGACTGAGACCTTGAGCCCTATCAGGCGTTAGCAGAAGAACCGAGAGAGTGGCTCCCGGTTCACACAGGCGGCCAGTCCCCGACAGCGGAAGACGGGTCTCCGGAACCCGAGACTGCAACCGCCGAGACCCCAGCACCACCCCAGGCTTCCGCCCCAGAGGTCGGAACCCCGGAGGCACCAGCGCAGGGCCCCAGACGATCCACAAGGGTACGCCGATCCCCATCGTACCTTAAGGACTATGTCACATAGGGGAGGTTCCGGACTATGGGGGGAGGGGTGTTGTGTCCACTGACCACCACCGGAGGTCAGCGCACATGCCTGAGCTTCAGTCCAGGACAACAATGGGGACTAGGATCCTAGAACCTCCACTGGGGGACCAATGGGACTGTGGCGGGAAATTCAAACCCGCCAATGGGACCCAGGGGTGGTCCCCTGGTAGTGTATATAGTTGGCCTGCCGGCCGTTTGTCTTCGTCTTGTTGTGTGCCTAATAAAGCGTGCTATGCATTACGTCGTTGTCTGTCGTTTATCCATGCGGCAACCCACTACATAACACATCCTGTGAAGTAGGTGGGGCTGAGAGAGGTCTCTCAAGAACTGCCCTTAAGAGAACAGCTCTGAAAGAAGCTTTGACTGACGCAAGGTCACACCAGCCGCTGCATGTGGAGGAGTGGGAAATCAAACCCGGTTCTCCCAGATTAGAGTCCACACTCCTAACTACTACACCAAACTGGTGTCCGCAGTGAGACACTGTGAATTCTGTTGTTGCCTTCCTGATTCTTAAACAAGGCAACAATGATTTTTGGAAAGTTTGAACTTCAGAATATGTACCACACTGAAACAGTGCTACATTTTCCCAAAGCTGTTGGCTATGGATGGAAGTAACAGTCAAACAAGACATAGTAGTAAAGGCACACCTACCACTTAAAGCAGGAACTGCAGGTCTAGTTCCCACATTTAAAACGTCTAGTAGAATATTCTGTGTCATGATGACATTCTACATTTGAATATGAACAATGTGGTGTCATCAGCCATTGTTCGTAGCACTAGGCATTAAATGATCACCAGTGTCTAATCTGTGCTGGCTAATTCAAACATTCTAGTCACCCACTTGATGCTATAGTGAGCATGTATTATGCTTTACGTATGCTATCATATTTTCCATGCACATTTGACATATTTGGTTTTCACTGCTCTGGTATAATTCAGATATCAATCGACAGCAAAACATAATGCATCCAAATTGCATTTTTGACAACTGGACTCTGAATTCTCTCTTGCTATAGATCTAGTAAAACACATACCTCAAATATGCGTAGAACTTTAGCCAAAGCTCCAACTTCTTCCTTGAGAGAGAAGATCAAGGAGATTGCACTGTTCTTGAAAGTGTTTTCTTCAATGTACATAGATTCCTTCAAAAACAAAATATATATTAAGTGGAGTTAGCTGTGTCTTCCGTGCCTGGAAATTAACAATATAATGCATACCTTACAAGAGAATCGGGCCTTGACAGACTTGTACTAATACTCCAATGACATTTTCCTGTTCTTATCAGTCTACACATTAGCTCCAAATCTCAACACAGGGTTAGCACCAAATTTCTTTCCCCAGGAGAGGGCCAGTGGAAGGGAATAGGATTTTCTTGGGAGCAGCAACCATCCATTTTGCATGTTGCTCACAGGTCCACATCCCTGCCTAAGCAAAGACTGATGGAGTTTCACTCGCTCTCGGATGGTGTCAGCATGAAAGGGGGCAACCAGCATGGCTTACGTCCATTGTTACTTCCCAGACCTGAGGAACCACCAGTTGGGTCTGAGGTAAGCCCTCAGGGCATGGTAGAATCACTGTGATGAATCATGTTTATGTCCAATGTCATGTTTATGTCCGATGGCATCCAGCTACCAGCCTAACATCTCTATCAGAAGCAGATTCAATGCATCCATCAAGAGGACCACTTTTTTACTTGAGTAAATGATATGAGAAGCAATTGAAACAACACAAAGCATGTCTGACCAAGTATGAGCCACATCTCTCCCGCCCCCCTATATCTTCACAAATAGACTCTGCTGGGGGTGGGGTCTGTACTTAGTCCAATAAGGTGGCCTTCCCCAGGCTCAAGCCCCTGTAAACTTGGCTGCAGGACAGAATTGGGGTAAACCACCTCTGTCAAAGCTTTTGTACCTGGACTCAGGAGTGTGGTTTCTATTTTTCCTGGTGCAAGGAGTGTTTCTTGCTGGGGAGACCTGCTAGTGTAATAATTATATAGTTGCAATACTAGAGGGATTGCTCTGGGACACTGCAAACTTGAAGAGTCCAAGAGCAGCATCCAGAGAGGACTGCCAGACTTAACCAGTGAGATTTGCATCCTGTGAATTGTTACCATAATATAAGCATGGCAAGCCTTTAAAAACTGATTCAGTAAACCAGGCTTTCAGCCCTTACAATGCTTGCAGAATTCATGTGTGTTTCTTGCAACCTTATCTTCCACCCTGAAATCCAGGTAATAGCAATTCCAGTAAGTGTCAATCAGCACTAAATTAAGTCCTATTAACCATCTCATTTATTTTGGATTCTGATATATTTCCTCTAAATTTGGCTTGGAAAGGGCAGTCTGTCTCAATTTTCCATAAAATGATTGTTTTTCCATGAAAATTTTCTAAACAATGTCGTTATCAGTGTTTCCTCAGGTAAGAAGTACTTCAGAAACAGACTCTCACTATTCAGGATACATCAACCTCCAATTCTGACACATTTATTTCCTTGTTATATTCTCCCCCCTAGTTGAACCCAAACAGATGACAGCCATATAATCTAAGCTTGTTATTCTTTTATTCTGTTAAAAACATCTTCATTATTCTGTATGCTGATCTACTGCCCACCCTCTATACGTATGACTGTCATTTCTATTTCCATTTCACTGTATCTGAAGAAGAGTGCATGCACACAAAAGTTCATACCTTGAATAAACCTTTGTTGGTGTTAAAGGTGCCACTGGACTCAAAATTTGTTCTACTGCTTCAGAGCAACATGGCTGCCCACCTGGATCTATAGTAAATCTATATTATAGAATGCAGATCTCCTTTTTTGCCTTCTCTGAAACAAGCTTGATAGTATTTACATTGCATGGAGTTTGGGGGCAGGTGGAAAGGTAGCCATAAAGCCATAGATGGACTCAATTTCATCTAGCACATTTTAAATTCAACAATTTATTATAATTTCTTTTTTGCAGCAATGACTAGAAGCATTTCCCATGCTATGTAAACCTGACATCTTAACTTCATCACGATTTCAGTTAACCATGTGTCAAGCATGTTTCAGTACAGAGAGAAAAGAGCCTTTATGAAAGGGCCAGCAATGCTTCCTACATGGATCACTTCTGTTCTGGGACCCTTGTCACTCACAGTTGATCCACACCATATCTGTCTCACTTGCGGTGTAGACTCACCAGAAGAGAAAAACCCTGCCAGAACTCTTTCCCCCATGAATATTTATTTCACAAACTCTACATTCTTGTTAAGTCTAGGCTGTAGTCAATGGTTCTTGTGTGGCGGGGAGCAACAAGCTAATGAAAGCCATTCACTACAAATGACCTTACTAATGAAGAAACAGCCATGACATCAAAAGACTAGTGGGAGGTTGCACAATTTTACCAGGACAACCTTGAATCAATCAACAAAATAACGTTTTTAAGCACCATGTGACTGTTGTTTTCTACACCAGTTCATTTTGTCCCGAGAAAAGACAGAAGTCCTTTACTCAGATGCCAGTGTGGTTACAGCCTTGTAATTCGACACATCAGTTTGGTACACACCAACACCCTTAAGATGAAGGCCACCTCCAAAGCCCATGGGGTCATTCATGTTAACATTCCTCAGTGGGAGATAATTATTAGGAGGTGGTTTTCCAGTGGCTGTGGTTAAAGGTATTCATCAGAGGTTGTAGAAGGTCAGCCCTCCCAGCTAAGTGAGGGAGAAAATCTGCTTGAGGAAAGGAGCAACAGGTCTGAGTTTGGAAATCAACAGAGACAGAAGCTCTGAGCTGGCTGGAGCAAGAACACAGTTCCAGATGGGTTAGTCTGTAGCAGCAGAGCAAAACAGGAGTATGGTGGCAGTTTAAAAAGATGAACAAGATTTATGCCAGCATAATATTCTCTGAATAAGAGCTCACTTCACCAGATGCATTGAAGTGTACATCCATCGCACCTGATTTATCTACACAACAGAAAATGTGTGTGTGTGTGTTGGAGCTGTTACAAAGAGAGACCGGTTCGAAACAACACACAATCCAAAGAATAATCATTTTACTCAGCATGGGTGGAAGACATTTTCAACTGTTGTTAGATGTGCAAAACATAAAACTTAGTACATGAAGGAATGAGGTAAGCAGGTACAACTGGGAGTTACAAGGGTATAGCTCAAGCAATGGCAGATGCTTATCTGTAAGGGCTGGGATGAGTACAGGGTCTCTCTTCCTGGTGATCTGCTGAACTGTGGGGGTGTTTCTTGACCTTCACCTGTACTCTACTTATATATTTGCAAATAAGAGAAATGTTACAAAAATGCCAAAAGTCTTCAGTACTCTCTCTTTATCATAAAAAGCAACCAACCTAGACCCTGGAACTTTTCATTGTCCGGAGTGTGTGTGTGTGTGTGTGTGTGTGTGTGTGTGTTTTGTGTGTGTGTGTGTGTGTGTTAAGGGCACTTCTAACTTGTAGACTGACAGTGTTCCCTCTAAGCTGAGTTAGTGTGAGCTAGCTCACAGTTTTTTAGCCTCCAGCTCACACATTTTTGTCTTAGCTCAGGAAAGATGGCTCCAGAGCAAACTAATTTTATGCAGCAGCCAAACTACCTGCTCACAACTTTAATGCCAGTAACTCACAAAGTAGAATTTCTGCTCACAGGACTCCACAGCTTAGAGGGAACATTGCTGACAATGAATAAATTGAAATTGTTCAAGATTTTCTATTCCTTGGCTCCATCATCAACCAAGAGGGAGACAGCAACCAAGATATCAGAAGAAGATTGAGACTGGGAAGGGCAGCCACGAAGTAGCTAGAAAAGATTCTTAAGTGTAGGGATATGTTACTGGTGACCAAGATCAAATTAACTCATGCCACAGTATTCCCTATTGCTATGTATGAGTGTGAAAGCTGGATAATGAAGAAATCTTACAGGAAGCAAATTGATTCATTTGAAATGTCATGTCGGAGTAGAATTTTCCAGTTACTGCGTACTGCCAGAAAGACAAACAAATGGGTTCTAGACCAAATCAAGCCTGAACTCTGTCTAGAAGCTAAAATGACTAAACTGAGGCTGTCATACTTTGGTCACGTTATGACAAGAGTCACTGAGAAGACAATAATGCTAGGAAAAGTTGAAGACAACAGGAAAAGAGGAAGAGCCAGCATGAGATGGATGGACTCCATAAGGCAAGCTGCAGCCCCCAGTTTTCAAGAATTGAACAAAGCTGTTAACGTCAGGACATTTTGGAGAACTTGCTGAACTCACAAAGAAACGGAACACAATAATCAGCCAAATCCAGCACCCTGTTTCTTCCAGTTGCAAGATACGTCAGTATTAAAACAGGGCAAAGAGGCCACAGCCATTGGCAGCAACCACGCCCAGTAATGGGGGGGGGGGAATCTTAGGAAGTGTGCTTGCACACAAAAGCTTATACCTAGAATAAAACTTTGTTGGTCTTAAAGGTGCCGCTGGACTCAAACTTTGTTCTTCTGCTTCAGACCAACACTGTTACCCCCCTCCCGAATCTACCCCTCAGTAACTGACATTAAGAAATATACTTCTTCCCAAAATGGAGGTATCATTCAGCCACCATGGCTAATAGCTATTGATGGACTTTTCCTCCATGAATTTGCCAAATCTTTATTCAAGGCTGTCTAAGCTATTGACCATCACCATATCCTGTGGCAGTGAGTTCAGCAAGTTCCTTATGCATTGTGGGAAGAAGAATTTTTGCCTGTCCTGAACCTATTGCCTGTCAATAACCCCCAAGTTCTAGTATTTGGGAGGTGGGATTTCTCTATCCAGAGCTTCTACACCATGCTACTCATAATTTTATCATCTGTATCTCCCCTAAGTTATCTTTTTTCTAAAATGAAGTACTGTAAAGGCTTCACTAGTACTTCCTTCTGCTTTCTGTCCTGACCCATGGACATCAGTTTCCTTCACCTTATAATAAAGATTTCAAAGGTGTTCAACACCACAAGAATGACAGAGTAGACTACAGATGGTTCTCCCAGATTAGAGTCCACGCTCCTAACCACTATACCAAACTGGCTCTCTGGACAAGATTTCCCACTTATACACCTGTGTGTGAGACCTCCATATTGCATGTTAATTTATTTCATTTTCATCCCACTCTTCCTACAAGGACCTCATGATGCCATAAGGGATTCTCCCCTCGCACATGTTATCCTCACAACAATCTTGTGAGGTAGGTCGAGCAGAGAGAGTGACTGGCCCAGTATCACCCAGGAAGCTTCATAGCTGAGAGGGATCTCTGCTGTGAGATGATCCATCATGATCCACCAAGGGAGTTCAGCATGGTTGCTGTGGCTGATAACACCATGAACACATGAAGCTGCCTCATACTGAATGCTGATGTATTAGTTGTTATTGTATATTATAAGTGGCAGAAGGTCTCTAGAGTCTCCAAGTAGAGGTCTTCCATATCACCTCTTACTGGATCCTTTTAACTGGAGATGCCGTGGATTGAACCTGGGACCTTTTGCAGGCAAAGCAGATTTTTTGCCACTG